GAGCATCTTAAATATCTCATGACAACTGTTTTAGCATTATCTACCGACTAAGGGGTCGTTTTGGAACATATTTTTTTTAATTTTTTTACTTAAAATATAAGATAAAAAAATTAATATTTTTGGAATAATTTTTTAATTTTTTTATAAAAAAAAATATGTAAAAAACAGAATAAATAGAATGAATCTGTAACTTTTTTGTATTTGTTAATTTTAAAATTTTTTTGAGTAATTTGTTAACCTTTAGACTAAAATATTATGTTATCAAACGAGGCCTATGATCGTGGTTGGCTTAGGCCTAGTTTGGGAAGACTAAATAAGTGCACTTTTTGACTTTTTATGAAATATGGGTTGGGTTTGAAGTGATGTGTTAGAGAGGTGATGTGACTTAAATAAGATGATGTGACTTAAATAGGATAGTGACTTTTTGACTTTTTATTTTTTTTCAATCATGCCAAACTTGGCCTTAATATTTAACAAATCCATAAGAATTGTTTATTTATTTATATATATATATATATATATATATATATGGGTAAATTAAATTGACCCTCCTTAAAATTTGGAAAAAATAAAGTTGGTAACATTGGTAAAAAGTCAACTTTTTAGCTTTTTAATTTTTTTAGCCAAAAAAGTCGGCTTTTTTACCCAAAAGAACCTAACTTTTTGTCAAAAAGTCAAAAAGCCAATTTTTTACCAACTTCTCAAAACACCATGTAATTAGACTGACTCCCTTTTAATAAGGTTAAAGAGAATAAAATTAATATAAATAGTATAAAAACACAAACATACACAATGTAAAAGATATGATAATATCAATTTTTCATTTATACTACTAACAAATTTATGATGACAATTAAGCCAAGTGTTATATAAATTAAAATTTTAAAAGAATTAAATTTTAGGAGAAGTTGGGCCACAAACATACATATATATTAGAAGTTGTACCACATGCATTATTTGTGTGCATAATGCATCAAATTATGTGACTGAAGCAATTACATCAACTGGGAAATTGAGTGATTCTGAAGATGTATATTTTTGCAATTTTGTGTGGACCATTAAGACAAACAAAAAAATTCAAAAAATAAATAAATAAATTGTTAAATAACTTTGGTATTAAAAAATTGTACATAATTTCACTTAGCCAAACTAAATTTTTTTTTAGGAGGGAGAGTCTTTTTGTGGCTTTATATAATAATACGGGAAGTGTTTTGGTGTGCAATGTGCATATCATATGTATTTGCGTAAATTCTCACAAATATACATAAATTACCTCACAAAATTGCGTAAGTTCTCACAAATATATATAAATTGTAATTTTTCAAATTTTTATAGGTTAACTTATGCATGTTTGTGAAAACTTAAGCAATTTTGTAAGATAATTTACGTATATTTGTAAAAACTTACACAAGTGCATATGATATGTACTTGCATACTTAGGAATTGCCCTAATGATATAAGTATGGTTAATAAATAAATTGTTAAATAACTTTGGTATTAAAAAATTGTACATAATTTCACTTAGCCAAACTAAATTTTTTTTTAGGAGGGAGAGTCTTTTTGTGGCTTTATATAATAATACGGGAAGTGTTTTGGTGTGCAATGTGCATATCATATGTATTTGCGTAAATTCTCACAAATATACATAAATTACCTCACAAAATTGCGTAAGTTCTCACAAATATATATAAATTGTAATTTTTCAAATTTTTATAGGTTAACTTATGCATGTTTGTGAAAACTTAAGCAATTTTGTAAGATAATTTACGTATATTTGTAAAAACTTACACAAGTGCATATGATATGTACTTGCATACTTAGGAATTGCCCTAATGATATAAGTATGGTTAATGTGTGCCCTTAACGGACATGTTATAAAAGCAAAAAGAATTATATATTATTTATTTTTAAACTTCTTAACATATGTCTTAAGAATAGACGTTAACAAAATTTTAATAATATAACCACTTATATTTTCTTATACCATTCTCCCTCAGTTCACACATTTGGTGAATATATATTTGTTTATATTTATTATCATTGTATCCTAAAATAAAACTACCAAAATACTAATATCTTCATCCCAAATAATAGTCCTCCACCAAAATACCCTCCCCTCCTGTGGCAATCCCTTTCCCACTTGTCGCTCCTTACTAGACCCCTTCCTGTCACCACTTCCCCCCACCCTCTATGTCACGCCCCAAGCTCTGTGACAACGCCGCACACTCATATAAGTGAGTATGCAAGGCTAAGAATCCAATCACATAACCCACAAAATAAAATACTCAAATTAAATCCTTAATTGTCATAATGCCAAAATCCATAAAGATAAATAGTTCTCAAATGAAAATGTCCACCAAATCCACTAATTTAATCCACTAACAAAACAATAATCCAAGTACTTAAATCATGGTCCTACTCTCGGCACTCCCATATGTAAAAAAAAGATCCCACGCAGCTCTACTCTTCAAAATCTGAAAAAAAATAAGAGTAAGCTAGATAGCCCAGTAAATAACCAACCATCACTGCTAGCTGGATCAAGTATACAAAAATAAATAAATAAATCGATAACCAATAAATATAATTTTTTTTCTACAGTTCAATAAATGAACAATTATTTGTAAGACAGTTTCATAGCTAAAAATAAACAATGTACAATACATTTTAATTGAAAATCCAACAAGATAATTCAAAGGAAATTCGTTGTTCGCAATTTTAACAGCATTTTGATAACATTGGTAAAAAGTCAGCTTTTTGACTTTTTACTTTTTTTAGCCAAAAAAGTCATCTTTTTTACCCAAAAGAATCCAATTTTTTGCCAAAAAATAAAAAAATCAACTTTTTACCAATTTCCCAAAACACCACATAATTAGACTGACTCCCTTTTAATAAGGTTAAAGAGATTAAAATTAATATAAATAGTATAAAAACACAAACATACACATGTAAAAGATATGATAATATCAATTTTTCATTTATACTACTAACAAATTTATGATGACAATTAAGCCAAGTGTTATATAAATTAAAATTTTAAAAGAATTAAATTTTAGGAGAAGTTGGGCCACAAACATACATATATATTAGAAGTTGTACCACATGCATTATTTGTGTGCATAATGCATCAAATTATGTGACTGAAGCAATTACATCAACTGGGAAATTGAGTGATTCTGAAGATGTATATTTTTGCAATTTTGTGTGGACCATTAAGACAAACAAAAAAATTCAAAAAATAAATAAATAAATTGTTAAATAACTTTGGTATTAAAAAATTGTACATAATTTCACTTAGCCAAACTAATTTTTTTTTTAGGAGGGAGAGTCTTTTTGTGGCTTTATATAATAATACGGGAAGTGTTTTGGTGTGCAATGTGCATATCATATGTATTTGCGTAAATTCTCACAAATATACATAAATTATCTCACAAAATTGCGTAAGTTCTCACAAATATATATAAATTGTAATTTTCAAATTTTTATAGGTTAATTTATGTATGTTTGTGAAAACTTACGTAATTTTGTAAGATAACTTATGTATATTTGTAAAAACTTACACAAGTGCATATGATATGTACTTGCATACTTAGGAATTGCCCTAATGATATAAGTATGGTTAATGTGTGCCCTTAACGGACATGTTATAAAAGCAAAAAGAATTATATATTATTTATTTTTAAACTTCTTAACATATGTCTTAAGAATAGACGTTAACAAAATTTTAATAATATAACCACTTATATTTTCTTATACCATTCTCCCTCAGTTCACACATTTGGTGAATATATATTTGTTTATATTTATTATCATTGTATCCTAAAATAAAACTACCAAAATACTAATATCTTCATCCCAAATAATAGTCCTCCACCAAAATACCCTCCCCTCCTGTGGCAATCCCTTTCCCACTTGTCGCTCCTTACTAGACCCCTTCCTGTCACCACTTCCCCCCACCCTCTACCCCCCCTCTCATTCTTCTTATTTTAGATCTTGGGTTTTAAAATGCAACAAAAATTAAATTTTCTTCTTAGAACTAGAGTTTCAAGGTGCTACGAGGGTGGAGGAGGAGAGCTAGGTCACTATAGTGGACGCTAGGAAAGGAGGTTGACGGGAGAGAAAAGGGAGAGAGGAGGCTGCGACAGGAAGGCTAGAGAGGAGGCAAGTGGTGGCTAGGATTGAGTGAGGTGGTGGGAGGTGGTGATTAGGGTTAAGGTTTGATGATTAAAGAAGGTGAATATATTTTTGACATAATAAGTTACGTATTTAACAAAAAATATCATGTTTCAAAATCATTTAATGTTTGCATTAAGAGATGATGCGCACTGAGAGATTTTTGTCTGAAAATAGAAGCCCACAAATAATATAGACATACAAATACACAAATTGTATTTCAATTTTGCTCCATCTAGTGAGATTTATCAATTGGAAATACACAATATTTATTATGGTGCGTTTTCTTCTCTTTGTACAAACAAATGTGGAAACATTTCCCACTCAGTTTTGTCTCCAGTAAGGCTGGAAAGTGCTGTTAGGCCCACTACGAGGCCCATTTTACTGATTTGAACCGTTCATTTTGTCATTCACGAAGAAAAAAAAATCTCTTCACTCCACAATAAGGTTTCAGTAAAAGGTATCTACTTTGGGTTAAAACTTCCTGTTTATATACAGCTAATCACCATACTCAATTCTGCACCTACAACTATTTGCAGTAACCATCAACGCAGCCCCTGAAAACTATAGCTCTTGCATATCATTACCCATTATTCAAACATTGCATAATCTAACATCATTTGTTCACAAATAGTCCCACAACTCTGAGAAACAGAACTTAAAACTGGAACAAGCTTGAACATATATATGAAGACAAGCATCACACCTAAGAGAGCATTTCATCCACTAAGCCAACCACTTGGTCTCAGCTGGTCATGTTTGATTACTTAGCAATTGAATTTTTTTTAGTATATATAGGCATTTTAGCAGATTATGTATTTTCTTATATGTGTGAACCCAACTTGATGATCATCATCTTATAAAGCTAAGAGAGTTGGGAAAAAGAGAACTGAGTTCTCAATGTAAAACATGTAGCTACATATATACAAGGAATTAATCATATATTACATGTAAGTAGTTGAGGTCCATCATTTCCAAAGTTGACCATTTCCAAAGCCAACTGCATTCTAAGGTCAAAAAGATGGTAAAAACGTTTATAGTGGATAATGTTCAGTCAAAGATCTGATTCATTTCAATTCCTGATGCATTAGTTGAGAAAAAATTGAAGAAAATCCATAATTTGCTGGAAGCGATAGGTGTGTTATGATGATTGATTGGATGGAAATCACTGTATCAAAGTCAATGGATAATAAATTGTTAGCGTTCATTGGTGAAAACAATCATATCAAGCTAGTAGAAAAAGAAGAAAAAGAAAAACACTTAAATTCTACTATAATATTAAGGAATCATGATATATTAGGTTTTGAATATAAAGGCATTTCTATTCAATATATGATATATTAGGTTTTGAATATAAAGATATTTCTATTTAATACTGCAAGATCAACAACCAAGCATATATAATTAGAAGCATTTAGTTCAAGTACTTTATATCATCAACACTAACAATGATATATAATAGAGACAAGGAATGTACCGAGATGGAGATGGAGATGGAGATTAAGATCAAGATCGAACGGTGAAAAATCTCCTGCCGACACAACTAAATAGTTAATCTCTGATGAGGCATAAGTGGGCCAAGGGCATAATAATATGTAATTGGCAGGAGCATTGAACCTTGATGATATCATTATCAGCACCACCAAAAAAATTTCTCTTATTAATAAAACTCATCATTATGGCAGTGGTGGTAAAGCCATGATCTCTTGAACAACCATCTTATGTTCCCTTGAGAAGCCCTGAAAATGACACATTGAGAATCAGTTGCACAGGAAAAAGTATACTCAAAAGATATTTGAATGATAGGAAGATCTCTAACTGCTCACACTAATGGGACTTTGAGAAATGAATTAAACATGCCATGCATGAACCTAATACTTTTTGATAACTAGTCATCTCTTTTTTTTAACTTTAGCTATGGACTAAAGAATCATTTAGAGAGGGTCCCCTTCACAATATATATATATATATATGAGTGTGACCTGTGAAAAGTTCTATGGCTTTTCTCAAGAGACAAGTTCCTATGCTTAAAAAAGGGTTTATTTTTCCCGCCTTTTACACAAGAAGGGGGTGTTAATCAGGCTCAAGATAGACCAAGCAAGCTTGCTATATGATTCCAAGGTTGTTTTCCTTAATTTGGTCATTGCTATATGTTGCAATTGAAGTGTTTCAATATATAGATATAAAGTAGCTGAGAAAAGAGCTAAGTTTGACCTTTTCACCTCTCAACAAAGTAGCAAAGTTTGATTCACACCAGTCAAGCTGACTTGATATTTTGCTGAAGGAGTTTGTCTTTACCCAATCCGACCACGTTATAAATATATTGAGTTAATGGCCTTTTAAGTTGTACAAAGTAAACAAACCAAAAATGTTTGCATTAAAATTTAAAAAATAAAATAAACATTAAGAAAGTATATTTGGTTGCCAAACATTTCAGCTTTTTAGCCACACTCTTTTACTCAAAAAGCCAAAATGAGGGGGGGACAAAAAAAAACGTTTTTAAGCATTTATCAAACCTAGGCGTAAATCAGTTCATATAGGCACCCTCCCTCCTATAATGGAGTTTTGCACCTCTAACAAACATGGCCCAACACAATGCATTGCCTACCCTACCCATATCCTTTTCTTCTCTCCCTTTGTTCCCCATTTCTCACCCTTTCTCAGTTTTTTGCACTTCGCCCAACCATGGCCCAATGCATTATTACCAACAAACCCTGACCATTTCCTCTGTCTCTCTCTCTCATCACACTGTAGATGATCTCACTTTCAGGGTGCCTGGTGGGAACTAAAATGAACCAAAAGCAAACTACAAAATACTTTTTTAAGTTATACAAGTGGCTACACCAATGAGATGGCAAGTCAGACCAAAAATTTAAACATTATAAGATCAACAGACCAAACAATTTGAAGTGGTTATCTCACTTTATATCTCTGAAAAAAGTTGTGCATGTGACACTGCCTAGACTTTTGAGTCTAGACTAGAGCAATCCAGGTCATTCATAGGTGAGTTATATCAATGTGACATTGAGAATATAAACTTCAAAACAACTTTTGATAAAAGGAATTATTGCAAAAGCATTTTACTATATATATCATATATCTTCTATGAAAGTTAGGCCTGAGATTTTAGTCCAAGTAGCAAACACTTTTCTAATGTTTTAACCTTGTTTTTTGCTTTCACAATAAAAGTTAAGGGAAAGACATTTAAACTCTTGTTGGGTAGTCTAACATGGGGTGATCAAAGGGCAAAGATATTCAGTGGAGGTCAGCTTCTGTCTCTGTCTCTAGAAGGGGCTTATGTTGAGGTGATCAATCCATCATCAAGGGGAGTTCATGTATCAATTAACAAACTTTAGCCATGAATATCTCAATCACATGATTCAGACCTGAGATGTTGTATACATGCATATTTATAGATATTGCATAGGAACTAATATGTTCACGTAGAATTTTAACTGTTGAAAAGCATATTCTGACCAAGTAGATCCATCATTTTCCCGCCACCAATATCAAAAAAGGTAAATTCAATCAAGCTAAGGTATTGAGGACATTGCAAGAGGACCCTACATCATTTGGGTATCAATTGAAATGTTTTCAGAGGGACATTTTATGATGGGATTTAAATCTTGATGTCTGTCCCACACTGGTCACAAAGAAATACCAAGACACCAGTTCCCTCTTAATCAGTTCAGTCCACTTAATTCGAGGGGGAGAATTCTAAATCACTTCAGCAAGAATCAACATGTGGGGAATTTTAGAAATAGCATAAACTTCCTTGAGCCTAATAATCAGTCTCAGTTTTTTTCATCAACCTCTTCTTTACTTGACAATGACAAGGTTTGGGTGTTCATGAGTCGGTTTGGTTCGGTTTGGCACTAAATTTAGAACCAATCCAATCATGATCTGTTCTAAGTTTTTCGACCTTGTGATTGAGGCCGAATTGTACAGCATTGAGGTCGGTAACTAGGATATCTTAACTTTACTTGTCTGTCAAATTGTATATTTTATGTCTGTTTAATGCCAATCAGGTTGGATGCAATAAGAGCATAAAATGAGCAAAAATCAGTATTTTTAGCAGAAAATGCTTCCCGCACGTGCAGCCCATTCATTGCAGCCAAACAGGGCCCAAGATAATCGCATGTGCAGAGGCCCATTCCCACACGTGCGGAACCCTCGCCGCACGTTCAGTGGCATTTCCCACACGTGCAGCCGTACCTCAGAAAATGTGCCCATTGTTTGGAATTGTTTCAAAGAGTTGGAGGTATAAAAAGACAGAAAAAAAGGATGAATTTTCCGAAATATTTCAAAAGAGAGGAGGGGCTAGGGTTTGGAAGGAGGGTTCTCAAGCTTCAAGAACATCTTTCATGGAGGTTTCTTCTTCTTCTACCTCTTTCCACTCCTCCATTAGTGACTAGGCTTCTATTTCTAGGGTTTTGATGAAACTCTAGCCAAGTAAATAGGATTTCCTTTTTATTATTGATTATGTAAAGGTTCGAACAAGTTATATCGTATTCAAGAAGTTTTTAAATATATTCTCCATTATTTCTTCAAGTATTCTTCTTTCTGTGATTGTTGAATGCTTTCCATGTAATGGTTTTCTATTCTTTCATATTTAAGGTATGGGACGAGCCATACTACGAGGGACGAGTCGTTTTGATACCGTAGTTTAGAGCGAACGACTCGTACCACTTAAGATGGTTCATGCCTATACATTGAATGTGATAATTCTCTTGATCAATGCTTCGAACTTGTAGTTGCAAAGTATTATTTGGTTCGAATCGTAACATAATTGATTTTCAAATTGAGACCTTATTTATATAACTAGTGGTGAATTCATTACCTCAAATTTTTTCCAAAATCAATAATTCCAATTTTACTTTTAATTGCTAGTTTAATCTCTTAGTATTTTAATTATTATTAGTTTATGAACAATCATCTCTTTGATCAAAATTAATTTAGGAATTTAACCATTAAATTAGTTTAATTTCACATGTCTCTGTCTGTGGATCGATATCTGGACTTACCATTATTCTAAGGAATTTGGTACAGTTTAGTGTTTATTTTTGGTGTAAAACGACCCATCAAATTTTGACGCCATTGCCGGGGACTTTTAGCGAAGTTAATTAATTTAAAGTTATATTCTTATTATAATTTTTAGTTTAGGATTTTATGTTTTCATGTTGCTAAGTGTGCAGAGTTTTTGCAAGTGGAGCTATCACTGAAGTGCAAGTAGAGTGCAACCTATGTAGCATGGATACGGACACGAGACACGACACGGACCCGCAATTTTTCAAAACATGGGGGACACGACACGTTGGGGGCACATTTAATATATATAATTTTATTTATTTATATGTCTAAAATAAAAAGAAAATCATTAATTTTTATACAATTACGATAATAATAAAATTAATAAACATATTTTTTTAACTTTTTTAATAAAAAATGAGTTTTTTTAAATAAAAATAATTTATTCTATGAATTTTAGGTTTAACAAAAAAAATAAGAATAAAAAAAAAAAGAAAGAAGAAAAAAAAAGAGAGGCAGAGAGAAACGAGATCAAGAAAAAGAGAAAAAAAAATAAAAAAGAGAAACAATAGAGGAGAGAGAGAGAGAGAGTCAGAAAAGGCAGAGACGAAAGGGAGGAGAAGAGGAAGAAAATGAAGAGAAGAAGAAGAAGAAGAGAGAAGATGAAGAATACCACCTCAGCTTCTTCGATTGACAGGTTAGGCTTCTTCCTCTCCCTCGATCTCTTTCTCTTTTGTTCTGTCTTCTCTGCAACAATTAGGGCTTCTCTCTTTCTCAGTCTCCCTCGACCTCTTTCTCTCTTTCTTTGTCTCCTCTGCAACAGTTAGGGCTTCTTCGATCCACTCCCGCGTGTCCGGAAAGTGTCCCGGCATGTCCGACTGGAAAATTTCAAAAAAAAAAAAAAAAAAGGTTACATGATAGAGAGAGTGTTAGACACGTGTCTACTGCGTGTCCGACACGTGTCCGTGTCCAACACTCGTACGTAGGGCCTGGGGGCGTGTCGGTGCTTCATAGAGTGCAACCGAGCTTTAAAAACAAACCGCAGCACCAAAGTGCATTAAAAAAAAAAACAAATACTGGCAAGCAAAGCACCAAAGTGCTAAAGATAGAGAGCTCAAGTGGAGATTAGAGACAACGGTCTACACGTCAAGCACCCGCAAAACGAGTAAAGCGTTGTCATTAAACCGCTGTGAGTATTTTCTCCTTTAGTATTTTGTTTTTATAACTTGGTGCACAAGAGTCGGAACTCTGTGTGTGTGTGTGGTGTGTGTGTGTGTGTGAGTGGTGTATGCACAGGCTCCGTTCTTGCCACCCAGAATTGTGGAGTTTGGACCTTGAATTAGAAAAGACTTTGTGGCCAACCCAAAGGGTCAATATGGGGCAAAGGGATCTAGTGGGAATGGAAAGCACCATGAACAGGTGCAAGCGGTTATTACTTTGAGAAGTGGGAGGAAGTTAGTGCCTCAACCAGTTGTGTCTGATGCAACTAGGGCTAAGAAGGATGACCACAATGGTAAGTCCAATAAGAGCAAGGGTGTGGGAGAAACACATAAGGGGGATGACTTAGTCCCTACTCCCTAGTTCTTTACATGAGTCTAAGGCACTATATATGCCTAAGGCACCCTTTTTCCAATGCCTTGATACACCATCCCCTTTTAATAAGAAGGCGGCATCCATGGAAGCGATGATGGAGGTCTTTAAACAGGTTAAAATCAACCTCCCCCTGTTGGAGGCGATTAAACAAGTACACTCCTATGCAAAATTTTTGAAGGACCTATGTACGCAAAAGCATAAATCTAGGACACGCGTGTCCTGAAAGGTCGTACTCATGGAGCAAGTAAACTCCATTTTATTGAGTGACACACTCCCCAAGCTTAAAGACCTGGGTGCCCCAACCATCGCATGCATTATAGAGGATCATTCATTGATAGGGCCTTGTTAGATTTAGGGGCGAGTGTCAGTTTGTTGCCGTACTCTGTGTATGCGGAATTCGGGCTTGGCGAGTTAAAGGCCATTATTGTCACACTCCAATTGGCTGACCGGTCCCTCAAAATGCCACATGGCATGATTGAGGATGTGCTAGTAAAGGTCAATAGGTTTTATTTTCCTGTTGATTTTGTGGTTTTAGATATGGAACCGTAGCCAGCTCTAGGAAACAAATCTCAATGATTTTAGGTTGACCTTTCTTGGCTATAGCTAATGCATGTATAAATTGTCATACAGTGGTTATGGATGTTTCATTTGGGAATATGCAAGTGAAACTCAATGTTTTCCAAGCATCCCAACAACCCCCTGAAAGAGATGAGTGCTTATTTATGGATGTTGTGGGTGGGATAATAGAGGAGGCTTCACCCTCCATTCTCGTAGAGGACCCTTTAGCTCATTTTGGGTTTGAAGATTTTGATATTAACAGGTCAGTTGAGGAAGTGAACGCTTTACTTGATTCTTCTTCTACACCGGATTTTCCTCCGTGGAATGCTCAATTTGAATCCCTTCCTCCTCCGTCTAGAGAGCCTGCCATACCATCCTTAGTCATACCACCTACACTTGAGTTGAAGCCACTCCCGGCCACACTCAAGTATGCATTTTTAGGGCCTCAAGATACTTGACCAGTCATCATTGCATCTAACTTAACTGCAGAGCAGAAGAGTCAATTAATGAGTGTTCTCGTGGCACATCGGAATGCTATTGGGTGGTCGGTGGCCGATTTGAGAGATGTAGAAATTTAATGTATAAAGAGAAATAGAGAATTGTATTATTGATTGATATATGTAATTGTTGTATATATTACAAATGGTGAGTGGCTCATTATATAGGAGAGGGTGAGTGTAGTAGGTGAGGAGTAGGTGAGGAGTAGGTGGTGGTAGGTGATGGTAAATTGGTGGTAGGTTTTAACAGATAGGTCCCTCCGTGTGCATGCATCATATACATTTAGAGGAGGACACCAATCCTAACATGCAAGAGGAAGTAAAAAATGAGGTTTTGAAGTTATTGGATGCGGATATTATATATCCCATCTCAGATAGCAAGTGGGTGAGTCTCACACAAGTGGTGCCCAAGAAATCGAGCATCACTATTATTGAGAATAAGCAAGGAGACTTAGTCCCCACACGAACCACCACCTGGTGGCGAGTGTGCAGTGATTATAGGAGATTGAATTCCATGACTAGAAAGGACCATTTTTCCATTGCCATTTATAGATCAAATCCTAGAGAGGTTAGCAAGGCAAGGTTTCGATTGTTTTCTTGATGGTTACTCGAGATATAATCAAGTTCCGGTGTACCTCGATGACCAAGACCACGTTCACTTGCCTTTTGGGCACTTTTGCTCTGCATGCCCTTTAGGCTATGCAATGCACTAGCGACTTTTCAACGGTGTATGATAGCCATTTTTTCCGATATGGTGGAGAAATTTTTAGAGGTTTTCATGGATGATTTCTCGGTGTTTGGACCATCTTTTGAGGAATGCCTTAGAAAAGTGACTAGAGTGTCGGAGCGATGTATTGAGGCAAACTTGGTTTTGAGTTAGGAGAAGAGCCATTTCATGGATCGTAAGGGTATAATGTTGGGACACATTGTGTCCCCTCGAGGTATAGAGGTAGACAAAGCTAAGGTTGACCTTGCAGGCCTTCCTCCACCCACTTTTGTGCGTCAAGTCCGTTCTTTTCTAGGGCATGCGAGTTTTTACGGTCGGTTTATCAAAGACTTTAGCAAAATATCCCGTCCTTTATGTAGTTTACTTGCTAAGGATGCACCTTTTATCTTTGATGATGCATGTTTAAAAGCTTTTAAATCACTTCGAGCGGTCCTTACTTCCACCCCAATCATGAAATCACCGGATTGGTCGCTTCCTTTTGAAATCATGTGTGATGCCTTGGACTATGCTGTCGGGGCAGATTTGGGCCAAAGGGTAAATAGAGCACCCTATGCTATTTATTATGCTAGTTGCACTCTCTCAGATGCACAATTGAACTACACTACCACCGAGAAAGTTCCTAGCTATGGTGTTTGCCTTAGATAAATTCAGGTCCTATCTCCTAGGTTCTAAGGTCATAGTCTTCATTGATCATGCCGCTTTGCGGTACATATTATCAAAGAAAGAGACCAAACCTAGGTTGATTAGATGGATTTTATTGCTTCAAGAATTTGACCTAGAGATCCGAGACAAGAAGGGTTCTGAGAATGTGATGGTGGATCACCTCTTCCGAGTCCTTATTGAGCATACCAGTGACCCTTTAACTTTGCATGATTCGTTCCCAGACGAACAACTTCTTGTGGTGTCACGAGCGAACCCCCCGTGGTTTGCTTATATTGTGAATTACTTGGCCATTGGGCAAATTCCTAAAAATTGGTCTAATAAAAAAAAAAGACTGATTCTTTTCACAAGTCAAGTATTATTTTTGAGAGAATCCGGAGTTGTTTGAATATTGTCCTGATCAAGTGATCCAAAGGCGTGTGCCGGAGAGTGAGGAGCATAGCATTCTTACATTTTGTCATTCTTCTGCATGTGGCAGTCATTTTAGTGGGCATAAAACAGCCGCCAAGGTTTTACAAAGCGGGTTTTATTGGTCCACCATTTTTAAAGACGCCCATCAATTGTGTAGAACTTGTTTGCACTGTCAGCAAATAGGTTCAGTGTCTCGTCGTGATATGATGCCAATGTCCCCTATTCTAGTGGTAGAGATTTTTAATGTATGGGGTATTGATTTCATGGGCCCTTTTCCATCGTCGTTCGGGTTTGAGTACATTCTCTTGGCAGTAGATTATGTTTCTAAATGGGTGGAGGCTATAGCTACATAAACAATCGACCATAAAGTAGTGATAAAGTTTTTGCATGAAAACATCTTTAGTCGTTTAGGGTTCCTCTAGGGCCATAATAAGTGATCAGGGTACACACTTTTGTAATTGGTTCTTTGAGTCAATAGTCAAAAACTACTCAATCACTCATAAAGTTGGCACTCCATACCACCCTCAAACTAATGGCCAAGTAGAGGTATCCAATAGGGAAGTGAAGCACATTATAGAGAAAACGGTTAGGCCAAATAGAAAAGATTGGTTAAAACATTTGATTAATGCTTTGTGGGCCCACCGCACTGCTTATAAGACACCCATTGAAATGTCACTATATAGGATGGTGTTTGGCAAAGCTTGACACCTCCCAGTTGAACTTGAGCACCGAGCGTTGTGGGCAATAAAAAAGTTTCATTTCGATATGGCCGGAATTGGACTTAACGGGAAATTGCAACTCAATGAGCAAGTGGGAGAATGCAACTATGGGGTAGCATTCAAAAAATCCAACAAACATCAATTACAGAGCAAACAAATTTCAAAAACAGCTTCCCATAGCTATTTCGGCACCCATGGAAAGGATTACGACAAGAAAAAACTCTAGGAAATGCACCAGGCAGAAGATAAAAAAAATTAAAAAAAAAAAAAAAAAAAAAAAAAAAAAAAAAAAAAAAACACCCGAAAACTTGAAAAATATTCAAAAATTGAAAACTCACATCAGATGATGCCAAAGAATTCCACAAAATCACCTTAATTCTCAAGAGGAAAAACAGACCTTGAGAAGCCAATCTCGTCTGTACGGACTATGATGTCACGCTAAAGTCATCATACAGATGACGACGTCAACACGTCCTTGTAACCTCAAGTCAATCTCTAGAATCTGATGAACACTTGATAGGGAAGAATCAAAGCTTTGATACCAAATTAGAATGTGAAAATACGTAGAATCAAGATTAGGGTTAGAGAGAAGAAAGAAGAGAGAAGAGAGGAATATGTTATATTGAATACATGTTATTGGGTTGTTAAAGAAACCCTACATCAGCAATCTATTTATATGAAGAACACCCACATTACAATATGACTATAGTACCCTTAATATTAAAATAGCAATTGAGTAATCTAACACCTCCCATTTCCAAGCATTGTACCACATTTGGCTAAGATTATCATCCATTAAACTACTAGGCTTACATTAAACTACTAGGCTTACAACACTGTATGTTACATATGCAAAAGTACCTGAGTAAAACTTGGTTCCCCTCTTTTATGCATCCCTTTATGGTAATACAACAAGCTCAATCATCCATATGTCCCTTGCATATTCATGAATTGCTGAACTTACATAAACCAGCTGCATTCAAGTTGACATCTTTGTCCATCTCTGCGCCAATATCAATTAAGGAAAGGTTAGGTAGATATATATATAAAAAAATGAAACTGGAAAAGCATGTCTTTACATGTCTAACTGTTACCACCTCACTTGCTAAAGATATGCATGTCAAGCATATATATCTGCATATCCACTGTAGGTACCCACATGGTTGTTTCAGTATACCAAGTTAACATGTTTTCAGTATGCATGTAGAAGAGTTGTGACAAATGGCTCTAGAAGCCTATAACATTCTGGCATAAGTTGAACACTTGCACTTGAGTCCTTGGAATGGCCTCAAACAGACATGATGATGAGCCGATACAACTGAAATCTTTATCACTAGGTCCATTGGTGGGGTGCTGTTGCAAATAATCAAAAGGCCATCCCAATAGACCTGTTGTGGCCGCCATGCAACAGCAAGTGGGAGAATGCAACTGTGGGGTAGCATACAAAGATTACTGCATGCCCACCGACAACACAAAGATTAGCCATACAGACAATCTTTGGAAGTTTTGGGCCTGGCCAAATGTCAACTTAATTTTGCTCTCAATGTCCTGTGGCTCCAGCTCCTCAAATTGATCCTCTTCATCAATAGGTTCTACTGCTTCTTCAGAATTTTCTTCAGATCTTGCATTTCCTTGAAAAGGATCAACAAGGCTTCCCTCTGACTTCACAAGCAAGTCCATGAAGGAGGCAGGTAACTCAACATTATCTGAAATTCTCATTTGTTTCATTTCAGTTTTCATTGCAACTAATATCCTACTTGCCATACCCAGAGATTATGGTATAAAAACTAGCTGGAAAAATCAACACAACAAATAAGGACGGGAAAAATTACTACAACACACATAAAGGAGAGGTGGGCTGTGTGTTTTTAATGGCTAGCTCAGTGTAAATAGGCAGCGCTGGCTGCAGTAGTTTAACTGTTTGAGGGAATCCAAACATCACAATACTGTTACTAGTACACCTCCTCATCAATCATCTCTATGATCTCAACATGCCGAGGAAATCAAACTCCATTTCTCCAGTGCTTCAGGTCGAACGGTCTGGTTTGTGTACTCTACCATAGCAGAGAAGGTAACATTATCACATGACAATCAGCTACTATCTTGAATCTCAAGTATAACTATCCATTAGTAAAGAAAGCAACATCTCAGCATACTTAAAACATACTTGAGCAATCATAAAACATTGTGTCCCCCACAATTGTGTTCCCCCAGTAGCCATCACATGGCAGCCAAAAAAGGTCTTTAACAACAGTCTTTTGGTTATTTCTGCGGCACCCCCGCCCACTGAAGCAAAAAGCAATTTTTTAGTAGTGATTTCATTTTAATGAAGTTGAGGATTATATAAAATCATATGTCCACATCTGTGCATAATCACTCATATGCATATGCACCCACAAGTGCAAAAGCACCATAGAACAGGGGTAATTTTAAGCAGACTCTATAAGACAAATCAGGCTGAAGCAAGTTAAAATTATACTATTACATAACAGTCAAATTTAAAGTTACAGCCATAAATGGGAGAACCTTTGAGTAATCTCCCACGCTTCCTTCCAGCTCAAACCATTCAAATCCATTTCTCATCAGCTCTGGTATGCACAGTGTTGGGTGAATATGTATCATTTGTACCGCAACCTTCTCAGGAAAAGTATTCACTGGTTCACCTGATCTCCTCTCAAATCATGCAATATATATCTTGGAGAGAAGCAGAGCATAGTGTATTTTGTTGCTTTAACCATATTCTTCCCCTCACTTGGCACATCTCTAGGGTATAAATATAGCAAAACTGGTAAAAATGTAGGGTAGCAGTAATCATCAGTAATTTATATTACACTAGACAACATGACAGTCCTTGAATGAATAACTATGAAGAAAACTCTATCAATTTGTACAAGTGTGTGGTTAGGTGCCCACTAAAATGTGGAATCTAAGTTCTCTGTTCTGTGGTGTATCTACAGCATGCTAAGCCTTCATGCAAATCCAAATCACAATAAAAGAAATTCATTGAAAAAAAAAAATCAAATCATGAGAATTGAATTCCAGATGAATATGAATCCAAACCTTTTCAGCCTTTTTTAGGGTTTATATCTTAGTTGCACAAAGCAGGGGCTGGGGCAGGGAAGCAAGGGCATATAAAAATTTCAGAGCGCCTGTCTATGAAGCATGAGTACTTCGAAAAACATGTTGTACCCGTATTGGGTATTTACCGGTGTATGGTACCTCGTATGGTATTTCTACATGCGTACTGGATACACGAAACACGTACCCAAATTTTTTCTTCTTAATTTTTGGCGTACCCAGACGTACCTAGTATATATCCAAGATGTACCGTATCTTAGTTGAAACAATATTTTCTTCTACTATAGAGATAAAACTCCTTTCACTATACTTCTTTTTTATTTTTACTTTTATACTTAGTATGATTTTAAAATTAAACTATGGTTTGTAAGTTATTTAATATATTGACATTTAATTTTGATTTATATTTTTTTTTTTGGTAAACTATGGGCCGAAGCCAAAACTAAAGAAAAACACTACGAGAGGAACCAAGCCCCCATATATCTCTATCTAAAGCTGTAGGCAAAACAGAGGGTGCATCTACTAAATCTTCCCTGTTAACAGCCATACTAAGGGCCCCTTTTGCAAGCAAATCAGCACAGACATTGGCCTCCCGCCAAATTCGTTGAAGGTCACACTCCCAACTCCTTGCCATTAGCTCCCAAATTTCTTGTAACAGATTAAACTGAGGGTGCAGTGGATTGGCTTTTGCCAAAGCCGAAATTGCTTCCACCGAATCCGACTCAACGATGACCCGATGATGTCCTTCGCTCCAAGCCAACTGCAAACCGTGCCAGATACCCCATAATTCAGCAGTCACAATTGATGAATGGCTCACCTGCTGCTTAAAACCACATAACCACCATCCTTGAGCATTGCGAAGTAGTCCAACATTTAAAAAATTAAACCATTTAACTAATTTTTACATTACTCCAAATTAAAAATAAATATTTTTTTACAAGCGTACCAAGCCATACCCGTACTCTACTTTTTTAAAATTTTACCGTATCTACGTACCCGTTTCGTACCAGTACCAGTACTCGTATCCGTACTTCATAGGCGCCTGTGAGAGTGTGTATATATTTTGTATATAAATATATTCCAACAATTATTCTTTTATGCTTAGTTGTAAAATATGTGTTACAATATGAATAAATATTTGAGATTGGCGTCAACAACAAATTGTCTTTATCAAGTATAAATAAATATTATGTAAACACAAACTACTACAATAAGTTTAAGTTGTTCTTTTGTTTCTTTGAGATTTGTATGTCTAAAAGTTTCTAACTTAGTTGGGAGCAAGTTTCTTAATTGGGAGTGCAGAAACATGTTTCTCAATAAGAAACTTCACCTACTACTATGCCTAATATGCTTTGGCAATGCTCTCTACCGTTAAAAGCACGCAAATCAAAATTTTCTGGTGCAACTTTTATGGACCACGGTCAAAGGTTAGTAGTGGACTATGAAGCACGGGTACTCCAAAAATGGTGTCATACAAGTATCGGGTACTTACCAGTTGTGAGTACGCATACCGGTACGACAGTACGCATACCGGGTACACCAAATACATGCCGGGTATGGAAAATACATTTGGGTATGCCATGGGCAGGTACGGCACGGGTATGGCGAGGTTTTTTTTTTTTTTTTTTTTTTGGCCGCTGTTAGAATTTGTTACAGCTTTTATTATTCTTCTTTCAACTTCGAAAATCATCAATTTATTTCCAACACCCTTTACCCATAAGTCATGATTTTGCTCTCTTTTGTATCCTATTTTAGACAATAAAAAAAAGAAAAGAAATAATTATGTAACTTTTTAGACAAGTTGTTCTCTTTTTAGTTTTGATATTGAAATTTTGATTTGTATATTGGATATTTAGCTATAAATTAAAATTATAAAAAAAAAAAATTGACGTACCCAAGCCGTACCCATACCCGTACTAAGAATTTGTTATTGGCGTACCCGTACCCGTATTCATAGGTAGTGGTTTTAACGGTGACAGACGCCATAGAGGCAACAGTGGCATTTGTGTGGTTGTGAAGTGTAACAGTAGTTGTGTAATGATGTCCACGGTCGAAGCTGTGAATTTTTTACTTCACACAAATTTGAAAAAACTTACCGGTATACTTGTTTTATTTCAGAATCACATTTAGTAGGGTTCAAAATGGTTTTTAGTGGGTTTTGTTTAGTTTTTCGACATGACCCTACATGCGTACTAATTTTTGCACTTGTCTTAAGTCGCTATGGATGTTTTTTTCTTTGTTTGGGTGTTTTAATTTTCTTTACTTTCTTAATTGTACTTATGGATAACTTCCCCTTTTTTATATATAAAAATAAAAATAAAAAGTCATGAAGCTTGTTTAATATTAAAATGATAATCTCATAAACGTACATAACATAATATCCAAACTTCGTTTAACAAATTTAACCTAATCCAAAAAGATATAAATTAAAAATCAAGGAATAATGAATGATAGAAACAAAACAAGAAGGGTTAACTGTGGGCACCACGCCCTTTTCGGGCTACGCCCACGCATTATATTTGACCTGTTTCATGTAGATTGTGAATCAAGGTCTAAATTGGGCAATAAATCATAATCTTTCCCACAAGTCATTGGATTCTATTTTATTTTTATTGACGAACATATCGAGGGACTATGGAAATCTGAATGACCAAATCAAGTAACCCACACTTGCCAAATATAGACCGATTCACAAAAATTGGAACCACCACATAATTTTTATGGGAAAACCAGTAAACCCTAATTCCATATTAATTGTTGCCACTGATCTGTCATCACCAAAAACCTTGGTTTGGAAGTTTAGGTACAAAAGGAGGTCATTGATTGAGCACCCCTCTCACCCAATCCAAAACATTAGCCTCTATTAGTTCAATTTTTTAGAGATTTGTTTCCTAATTTAATTCTGCATATTCAATTCGTTTTTTCCTTTAAATTAACCTACCTTCTATGTGAGTCACCCAAATAAGAATCATATTACCTAAACTAGAATGCTTCCATATTGCAAAACTTTTGGGATTCCACGTTAAGAAACTTTCCAAAAATGAGATGGAACACTTTCTAAAGTGCCAATTTTTCTAAGATTGAATAGAAGCACTCTAATTATCGTAACATAATTCTCCAATCTTGCATAGAAACGCTTACATACGTAAATGGAACGTAAATCATGAAGGGAGTAAACTAATAAGGAAATCATTATCTACATGCATTTACACTCGATAGCATGCCAAGAAGGGAGAAAACTTACTTCAACTCCTCAACATTGAGCAAGACAACCAAGGATTAGAGCCATAGATGCATGATCCTAGATGCTATTATTAATGCAAGCATACACTATATGAATCTAGAGGTCTGGTATAACACCCAAGGCATTCATTGCTTGACATTAGCATTCATGCATTCATTTATCTTTGATTTCCTTGTCTTGCATTGCATTATCACTTATGATGTGGCTTGTTAGCAAGAAACTTAGAAGAAATGTACAGTGAGTAGAGAAAAGAAAACTTAAAAGTTCTTGTGGAATAGAACTAGATAACATGAAAGTTAAGGCATGCCTTGCTAGAAACGCTCAAGTATAGAAACCTTGGAGAATACAAGAGTTAGGGGATACCTTTGAACTTGAAATTTAGAATGCATTGTCTGGAAAACCCTAATCAAGGAGCTTAATAACCTAGGTTTAATGAGCACAGTTTTTCTAGGCACTTTGCCAAAACTTAAGCAAGATTAGTAGTAATTAAGTAAGATTAATTCAGCCTAACCGAGATTAATTAAGCTAATGATGATTAAAGACTAACCTTGATAAAAAACCTAACTTAAGTGATTTATCATCTATGATAATATTCAATTCATCAAAATCCCCAAACAAAGAGCCATCTAAATCAACAAGCCAATACGAAAGTGATTTAGATTGATCATACACAATTGACAGTCAAACACAAACGATTTAATTACCCAATTTGCTACTGCACAAATCGCCCTAGCCAAAATCGCCTGCACAAATCCACAGAAACGATTCAGCCCTAGCCAAAATCGCCTGCACAAATCCACACATGCGGCCAGACCACCACACGTACGGCCCACCACCCCCGCATGTGCGGCCAACCAAATTTGCTACTGCAGAAATCCATTACGGCCTTTATGTAATGATCGCTGTTGTTATCATTGTGAATTTCAGTCACACACCGCTGCAACTCTAACGGGTGGTGGTAACCGCCAAAATCATTACATAATGGTTGCGGCCTGTATTTAAAACCTTGACAGAGAGTCAAACAAACAAGAGACTAGCCAGTAGCCGCCCTAATCCCCCTTTCCTAGCAGCATTTGGTTCCTGTCAATATAGCTAATACACTCCATAAAGTGCAGAGAGATATGGGGAAAATGTACCCCAATGAAAACAATATGCAATAAAATGATTCAAAATTGATAACACATACCCTAGATTAATTACCCAAAAGAAACCTTCCATCAAATGGATTATTTGAGTAGTCTGCATTCTTGATATCACAAGTTAATTCCAGCCATATATTAAATCCTTTGTATACATTCTATGACAGCTACAAAACATCCAAACATACCATCTAGTGCACATGTATTTTTCCAGCGAAAAATTCAGGAGCACAATATTCCAGTAATCAAATGGAATGACTCAAATGAGAGTGTCGGTTTAATTAAACTCACTGAGAGGTGATATACCATGAAAGAAACTAATTATTGAGTAAAACTATCACATAACTATGTCACCTGAAAGAAAACAAGTAATTGAGTGCAACTATCTCACTCACCTGCCTAGCTATGTACTCTAGATTCAGCACAAGTTTTCTCAAAGCCTCTGCATAAGCCTTTGAAAACTCTAAATTACCAATTGCATTTAGCAATGCTCTACCCTGCATTGCATTTAGCAATGCTCTACTCTGCAACAAGAAATAAAGTGAAGTATATTCAACAAATGTTTTTTAGTTGTAGTAACCCACTGGAAATGAGAAGAAACCTGAAGATATTCTGTAGACAAATAATATGCCTCCTTGACATTCATCTTTTCATAGTAATCATATGTGGCATTCCAGTCTATATAAGCCTTTTAGCTGAACACTTTCTGCAGTTGCATAAAATTTTTTGGAAGCTCAAACCACTCAGGAGAAACAATGGTGAATCCGGCACAAATGAATCCAGAGTTCCAGCAACCCCAAAATCAGAGTAACAAATTTAACAATTTTAGGAAGGCATATGGCTGCATGAGATTAAATTTGATTTTGGTTAATCCGGTTGAAATCAACAATTTTGTTTACATTATAGAAAGCTCTCTAAATTTGGGCCTATTCTATTTACATTGATTCTGAATAATTGGTGTACATAGAAACAGTTTAGTCGAATGGTTTGGGGCCTCATAGCCCCAAATTACCATTTTCAAGGCCCCACTTTGGGAACAAAATGCAGTCCAAGATTCATTTGGTAACTGAAAAAGAAGAAGACCAAGAAAGAAATGTATTTAACCAAGAGAAATATCATCCAAGGATTTGAGAAACAAGCATTCAGCTCAACTAAACAAGAGATGAACCAACAAATAAATTTGATGGAAAATTTCACCCATACTCCATGTAGTTCTCGTGTTATGTCAATTTTGTCTTTGTAGTTATGATTGCATCAATTTCAATCATGAAAAAATTGCATTGTGTCAATGTAGTCCAATTTATAACACCCATTAGAAATTGTACTGCAATCAAGAGGCAAAATAGTCCATTCACTCTCGTCAAAGTAGAGGCAAAATAGTCCGTTCACTCTCCTCAAAGTGATTGAGGATTAGTGTCCAATTTGAAATGGTCCCTTTCGAATGGACCATTTTACTCTTGATTTTTGTCCATTTTCTTGATGAATCTTATCAATTAGAAAAAGGGAGACTTACGTATAGGTCCTAATAAGTGGACTTATTGTCCAATAAGTCCTATGATAATTAGTGACATTTTTCATTAAACACTATTAAAAAAACGTCACTAATTGTTAATTTTTAGCAACAATATGAAAATTGTCACAAAAAATGAATTATAAGTTTTAACGACAGTTTAAAAAAATCGTCACAAAAAGTGTCACTAATTGACAACTGTTAGCGACAATTTAAAAAATTCGTCACAGAAAAACGTCACTAATTGTAAGCTTTAGCGACAATTTATAAAAATCATGACAAAAAAAAGTCACCAGTTGTTAATTATTAGCAACATATGTAAAAAATCGTCACAAAAAAATTATTTTTAGCGACGATTTTACTTAAGACTTGATGGGAGTTAAGTCTAATTATTAGAACCTATTGGTAGTTTACCTCAGAAAAAATTAAGGCTGTGTTTAGGTAATTTCGATCATCCACATTTCACCCACATTTTCCCTTTTCCTATCCAAATCCTACCCAAATCCATGATCCAAACACACCCTAAAGGGCAAGATTAATACAATTAGAATTATAGGGACCAAATTGATACAAGAGACAAATACAGGGACTATGAATATATTTTTCCCTAATCAGGAATGTCACCTTATTTTCTTTTACTAAGTTTTCTTAGAAAACAAACAACGCATTACATGCAAAAAAAAACCAGTAACATCAGAAGGAAAAATAAGAATTCTGGAACACATGCAACTCATTAACACAATGCTAAGAACAAAATATCAATTTTAACTTATGGAATTGCATAGTTGACATTTTGAAAGTACTCCTATCTTGCATCTGACGAGCAAAAACCAAAATGAAAACATATGGATAGAACTCGAGCTTACACTCAGCAATCAAAGCACCAAACAGTGTGTATAGAAATTACCTTTTTCGGCGGAGCGATCTTTAAGTGTTCTTCTCTTGTTTCGTTCTTCACAGATAGCCTTTTGCTCGAACGAAGAGAACGCCAAGTCCTGACCAGAGACAGCTTCGAGTTCATGTACCTGTGGTTGATAATGACGAAGCCTGATATTCAATTTGAATGGTTTTTTTTTTTTTTTTAAATTTACATGGGGTGAATTACACAGGGCTTTTCCCAAACTAAGCCTTTTTTGCATCCTATTTTCCAAACTAGGTCTAGTTTGGATGGGATTCCAAAACTAAGCTAAAGCGCTATTACAAATCGTGCTTTCACTGTTTGGAGTCTAAAATTTGATGATTAGTGAAAGCGCTATTGTAAAATGCGCTTTTAATTAATAAATCGCTGTTTTAAATCGCGCTTTTAACATAAAAAATTTTTTCTAAAAAAAACGCTATTGGAAATAGCGCTTTCATTGTGTATATAAATTTTTTTTTTTTTTTTAGAAAACGTTATTTGAAATAACGTTTCTACTGTTGAAAACCAAAAACCAAAACCAACCCACCCTCTGACTGACATACGCACACACCCATGACCAACCCACACTTTGAACCATTAAAATAATATAATTTTTATATCTATATAATAAGGGAGGAAGGTTTTTGAAAATGTGTAAAAATGTATGAGAGATACATTTGTATCAATGGTTGAGATCTTTCCTGATCAGCATCTAACGGTTGTCTCTCAAACACTCCTCTCATTTCTACCCAAGTGTATCAAACACTCCTCTTCTTCTGTGTCTCACAGGTCTGCCTCCCACCTAACCCTTCTCCCTCTTTTCTTCTTGATTTCAAATGGGAGTCGAGTGTTCTGTAAATCCTTCTTGGTACCTTCACTCGCTTCGACTGAACTCATTCGATTCAAGTTTTTCAGAGCTCGAACTTCCTCATCCAACTCTTCTAGGGTTTTTCGAATGGCCACCGAGCCTCCTTCTTCATCCTCATCATCACCACCACACTCCGATTCATCCTCATCATCACCACCACACTCCGATTCATCCTCGGTCCCCGCTTCTTCTGCCATTGATTTTCTCTCTCTCTGTCACCGTCTCAAGGTATTCCTCATCCAACCCTTCTATGTATATATGTATCGATTCTCTCTCGAATATCATTGCCTAAATTTGTGATTTTGTTTTTTGGGTTTGGGGGTTTTTTGGGGCTTGATCAGACGACGAAGAGAAGGGATGTTGAGAATCCAGAGTCCATAGCCGATCGTATGTATCGAATGGGGTTGATGGCTCTCAAATAGGATATTTTGTGCCATGGGAAGCAAATTTATGAATGCTGATTGATCTACATCAAGTTGGAATGATGCTAAGGTATAGTTACACAGTTTTCTCTTAACCTACTAATAATGGACATGGGATTGACATCTACCCCCCGATCGTTGTAAATATATTGTAACCCTCCATCATTTTCTTTCAGAATTGGTATACGAGTCATATTGTAGTGGTCATTCATTTTATGATTCATTTTGTTTTTATTTTTCTTGGAATGTATTTATAATTTATTTGTGCTTGGATGTGGTGATGGAGTTGGCTGACTAGGGTTAAAAAGAATGGGAAGGGGGATGGTAGGAGAGATAATAACTATTCACAAGTTCCATATAATTTATTAGGAAGAAGAAGAAGAAGAAGAAGAAAAAGGGAGAGGAGGAGATGGTGGCGGTGGCGATGGCGATGGCGATGGAGGGTTGCGAACAGTGGGCCGGAGCTAGAAAGGGCTGGCTGGAGGGCCGTCACAGTTGGGAGGAGATGGCCAGAGCTAGGGTTAGAGCTATGGTATTAAATTTTTTTTTTTTTGATAGTTGGGGTGTCCAACTTAATTTTTTAGGTGCATTTAGAGCCATGGTAACATACAAACACCGACAAGGGGTCAGTGTAGTTTAATTTTATATTTCATGTTTCATGATCAATTTTCTTTTGGGTTTTTGAATATATTAAGATGAGAATTGGTATACGATCATTTTGTTTCAAAAAATAAGATTGTAAACTTATGATTGAATTCAAAATCTAAAAATGGCATGAATTTGGGGGAAAAAAAAAAAGAAGAAGAATTTAGGGGATAACACCCATATGAATATTGGACTGTTTTGGGAAAATCTAAAATATGAGACATAAACACCAAGCGAAAGCTTCTCTAGATATAGATAGAAGATACTTGAGTGCTTCAATATATTTTCTGGGTTTCATCACTAAAAACTGAAAAAAAGGAAAATAAATGTTGGGTTTGATAGGATACTTGAGCTGTATGCTAAGATGGTCCTAAAGATATATATCTGTCCATTGTGGTTAATTTCATTGACGAAGAGTTGTACAAAAAATAAAAGAAAATTTGGAGTCATATTGTAGTGGTCATTCATTTTATGATTCATTTTGTTTTTATTTTTCTTGGAATGTATTTATAATTTATTTGTGCTTGGATGTGGTGATGGAGTTGGCTGACTAGGGTTAAAAAGAATGGGAAGGGGGATGGTAGGAGAGATAATAACTATTCACAAGTTCCATATAATTTATTAGGAAGAAGAAGAAGAAAAAGGGAGAGGAGGAGATGGTGGCGGTGGCGATGGCGATGGAGGGTTGCGAACAGTGGGCCGGAGCTAGAAAGGGCTGGCTGGAGGGCCGTCACAGTTGGGAGGAGATGGCCAGAGCTAGGGTTAGAGCTATGGTATTAAATTTTTTTTTTTGAGAGTTGGGGTGTCCAACTTAATTTTTTAGGTGCATTTAGAGCCATGGAAACATACAAACACCGACAAGGGGTCAATGTAGTTTAATTTTATATTTCATTTGAATGGCTAAGATGATTCCTAATCAATATCTAACAGTTGAAGTATGTGCAGTGATTTCAATATCTTAACCTACTAATAATGGACATGGGCTTGCTAAACTTTTTTATTTATTGTTTTTTTGTTAGCTGTTGGCCACATTGGGATTGTTTGGGTTATTTGATTCAACTTTTCATTGTTTAAAATACTGTTATTCAAAATCCATAAAAAATTTCCTCTCTTTTTTGTTTGTTTGTTTAAAATTATATGTGGTGAGGTCAGATTTTTTGTTGGTTTCAGATTCTAATTCTGTCGGAACTGCTCGCTCCCCTTCTCTTTTTGTCTCGAGTCGATCACTTCGCTCACTCTTTTCAAACTAAAGGTAAAGACCACTCTGTTTAAATAGATTAGAAGTGAGTACGTTGTTGTCGCCGCCGTAGGTAAGCTCCATGTGCATGGAGTTCATTGTTTAATAAAATACCAATTGTGAATTTGTGAAATGTCAAGTATAATAATTATAGCTATTTGTCCCCAAGGTATAAACGTTGTTGTAAACTATGTCAAGTTGTAATTCAAATATTGTTTTGCTATGTTTTTTTGTCTTCACTAATAGAATTCAAGTGTTTTCAGCAACAATTTCAGTCAAAACACATCTATTGCATTAAGCTCTGTATTCGTTACATAATCTGCGATCAAGTTGGTTATTGACTTTGAATTTTGTATTCATTACATAATATGCATCTAAGTTGGTTGGTCTGAAGCTCACTTTGAATGTCCATATCATTCTTCTACACAAGTCAGAATATACAATGACAAAAACAATTATAGCCTTTTTTTTAGAAGGCAATTGTAATGGGGACAAAGGCGGCTTAACTACTAGACCACTTAATTCATTGTCTATGGCTTAATTCATATGATTTCTACAGAATTCTGCATATGATTTCGACATGGTTTCAGTTTTAATTTTGATTTTGAAATGGATTTGAATGATTTCGGTTTTGATTTTGAAATGGGTTTGTATGATTTCAGTTTTGATTTTGAAATAAGTTTTCAAATCTCTGTATTTTGGTATTTATGTATTTCTATGTATTTCTATTTATGTATTTTGATTTCGGAT